AGCGTAGCCAATTTGCCAACATTCGTCATATAGCGTCAAGAAACTTCCTTTGAAGCTGGCATCTTCTCGAGATGCTATGAAATAGGATGTGTACGCCGTGAGAGTCTCAAGTTTGATGACAGCATCGGGAAGAATCTTGAGAGTAGCGGGACAGCTTCACAGAGTTTCCGCCAGCCTAGCAACAAAGCCTGGCAATCAGTAGTCGCCGAAGGCTGAGAGCTGGTGGTGGAGGAGGAGGAGGAGGAGGTGGTGGTGGTGGTGGTGGTGGTGGTGGTGGTGGGAGGGAGGTTGGGATTCAATGGATGATCGAATGCACGATGTGAATCTGGGGTGATAGAGGAGACAGTGAGATGATAAGACAAGGTGTGCTCTGGGGAGAGAAGGGAGAGGAGATGCTTGTCGGCAGGTGATGGGTAGCTGAAGGTGATGCAGCAGGCGACTGGGCCGACACGTTGCGTTACGAATGTATGAAGACAGGTCACAAGTCATTATCACCTGATGTTGCACTTGTCGGAAAGCAAACATCAGAACGCGATGCAGTAGCTCAATGCAAACGGCACAAGATCCTGCGATCTACCTGCACGAGAAGCTACCGAAAGCTCCTTCATCCCTACGGTATTACAACCAAGAATCGTTGGAGCTGGCTTTTCCCCTACCGCCTTCTCGCTCTCCTCCCTCCTTTGCTCGTTTTTCTCTTCCTCCTTTCCTCCTCCCCGCCGCCCTCCTTTTCTCTCCTTCCATGCTTGTAGCCGGGTTTCTATCTGCTAAGAAGCTCGGCCGGACTCCTGAGACTCTGTGACGTCCTGTGTCCCGTCCACCCTCTCAAGCTGAACTTGAGACGAGATAAGACGTGAAGGCAGCGCCCTCGGACTCCCGGCGACAATGAGGGCACTTACCGCCGTACTACCGTCGGTGACTGTCGCTAGTGGTCGGCTCACTTCCTCTCGGAGTTTCCTCGGTTCTGCAGTATTCGCGCTAACCTTTCTGAGCGCCAGAGATCTTTGTTGGCACACCACTCCAGCTTCTCTACTCCCCTTCGAGTACCAGGCCACCCGGTTGATGCACTTCTGTCTCAGTTTACCCCTCAGCGCAGGATCTGGCACTCGATTATGGCCGAAAGTACAAACCTTGGGATCTTTGAGCAGCAGCCCATCAGCTTGGTGGCTGCCGCTGACAAGTTTCTTCATGGATTGCCGGTTGACCTCCCGCCGCACTGCGATAAATGCCACCATCTTCTCCGTCATCCGGGGGGGACCACACACATGGCAACCTGCAGGCACCGCAGCCCGTTATGGTCCGACTGATGCGCATAAGAAGTGCAATGCCGTCCTCAGTACCCTCATCAAAGATTCCGGAGTGAGATGCCGCGTCCATGTGCAAGGCGTACCCGGCCAGGCAAAACCTCGGAACGTTTCCGGGCCAACCTGGCCCTGAAGATCATCATGTAGGGGACTTTGAACTTCCGCCGGCAACTGCAGGCGAGGCTGGAGGCGGATGGCATGACTTAATCCTGGACTTCAGCATGTCACATGTTTTTGACAATGATCATGTGGAATACCGGACCGTCTGGCTCGGAGCAAACTGCAAACCGTGAGCAGCACAGCGGAAGATCCGAGCCTTCAGCGCATCGTAATGCATATGCTCGGCCTCTGCACGCCCCGCAAAACTTGCAAAGGCCTTTCTTCACGGGCCATCATCGAGTCACTGAGTAAAGTTCCCGGCCCGGCCGGTTGGTCGCGGCCGGCCTGAGTCGGAAGTCGGCCGGCGTCGATGCCATGATGAGGATTCCGGGGGATCGGGATGATCCGGGGGCCGGACTTGAAACTACGGGCCCGAGTCCCACAAAGGGGCAAACGTCGACCCTACCCTCTCTTTACAGTAGAGCCGGATCACGAGACAACGGGTAGTGGGATGTGCCGTTTACAGTAGATCCGCACCATGCTTATATGATGGAGGGCTGGGATGGAATACGATGGTAAGAGTTCCAAAAAAAACTACTTCATTATGGTACAAAGTTTAAATATGTTTTATATCGTATCAGTACCCACCCTGTACAATTGATGGTACAGATCTACAGAGGGGTTCTGTCAGAAGTGGGTACCACAATTTACAGCTAGGGGTTTTACAGGTGAATTCGTTCCACCGGATCCGCGGAATCATTTGCCCGACATGGGGGAATGGGTAGGGGTCAAGGGAGAGGGACGACAAGGAAGAGGAAGTGAGGAAAGAAACGATGAAGCGATGCATAAGGCTGGATCTGCAGATAGGAGCAGGAAGGATTTTGTTGATACCAAGGAGGAGTGAGAAGAATCTAGTGGAGAAACTTGGAGGAAGAAGGGATCTTGTGGGCAAGGATACGTGGAAGTGGGCAAGAAGTGGTAAGATGACAAGTTGGACGTTAAACAACCAGAACGCACTAGAAATAAGAAAGTCAATGTGCAAGAGGAATGCAGTGAAGGGTAGTGCTTATGTCTTACAATATCACAAACCAGTCATTGCGAGGGTCGTTTGTGTACTCATGCTGATGTTTGCAGCATGGTGAAGCTTGGACTCGGTGCTGCATCTGCAGCTGTTCTCCTATCGGCAGAGTCTGCCATGGCATTCACCTCAGGATTCGTTCCTCAAGGCATGGCCCACAGGGCAAGGCTCCCCCTCCAGAGCAACACGATCTCTGCCCACAAGAGCCAGCACGGGGTTCTTGGCAGCACCATGCTCCTCAACAACAACAAGAAGTCCAGCTCCCTCGCCCTCAAGGCAGCCACGGTCCCTCCTCCTGCTGATTGGCAGGCGTGGCAGTCCAAGAAGATCACGTACGAGTACACGACCTTGGCGCCTCGCTACGCGTCGGAGGATTGGTTGTACAACTTGCTTTCTATCTTCTCCTCCGCCATGTTCTGGCGCGTCTCGTCCCATCTGTTCGCCAACACTCTGTTTGCGGTTGCCATCTGGTGCGCCTACCTCCTCATGCCCTCCCTCCAAGCTGTGTGTGCGGGCTTCAGCACCGTCCCTCACTCCCTCACCGGAGGCGCCTTGGGCCTCCTCCTTGTGTTCCGTACCAACACCGCCTACGAGCGCTTCTTGGATGTAAAGCATGAGGTAGAGGAGGAGGATGAACTGACGATCGTCACAGGCTCGCAAGCTCTGGGGAAGCATGGTGAACCGTATCCGTGAGTTCACTCGTGTCATCCATGGAAACTTCAGGGGACTTGACAGGTGAGGATGTTGAGGAAATCTCGTTTCTCCTCCTGCTCACCATCCCTGCCACAGGGAGCACTTGCTTTCACTCCTTGCCTGCTTCCCTTCGATCCTCCTCCAGCACTTGCAGTCCCTGGAGCCCGTCTACCGTCCTACCCTCTTCTCGGACAAGCAGTTGACTGCCATGAAGGGTCTCCTCGGCGACTCGGACCTCAAGGTGCTGCATGAAGAAGCTTGTCTTCCTACCTTTAACTCTTCTCCAGCTCCTGTGGGCTTCCCGCAACCGCCCCTTCACCATCATCAAGATGATGGGAGCCATCATTCAGAAGGTACGCACAAGCGCCGCTCTCCCCTTCTCCTCAAACTGCTCCAGTTCTACACCGACGTCGAGGCTCAGTCCAAGAAGTTTGGAGGTGGACAGAGAGGCGAGAACGTAAGAGTTTTTTATCTCAGTTGGTTTCAACTAACGCGATCGCAGTTCACCCAGTTCGAGAGCATGGTCGTCCAGGCCGCGCTCATTAGTGAGCGTTCGGTAACTTATCATCTTGAACCCTCCTCTCTTCCTCATGTTCATGTTCTTCAGCATGCGGAGGAGTGCTTGACCGAGTTCTCCAACGTCATGGGGTGAACTCCTCCTCCTCTCCATCCCTCGGTTCTTACGATTTCTGCAGAGCCTGCGAGCGTATCGTCAAGTCGTCCGTCCCAACCTCCTATTCGCGTCACACCAGCCGTTTCTTGAGCATCTGGTGCTTCACCCTTCCCCTGGTCCTCGTCCACAGCCTTCAGTGGAGGATGATTCCCTGCGTCTTCATCATGTGCTGGATGCTCTTCGTGATCGAGGAGGTAAGATTCCTCCTTGTCGCCACCCCCCTCCTCCTCTAACTCTCTCTCAGGTTGGCCACGTTATCGAGGATCCCTTCAACATCCACTTGAGTGTACCGGGATCAGGCAGGGAGGACGAGCTCAGAATTGAGGCTTCTCTCAGTAAGACTTTGTTGTTCCTGCTGTTCTTCCTCTTACAGTGGTGCAGGTGTTCTTCGTGGTGACGTCTTGGAGCGTATCCCAGCCACTGCCCCTCACCTTCTCGAGAACCAGGTGAGAGATAGAATGGATTGGGCAGGAAAGAGCGAGGAGAGAGGAGAGAGGATTAAAGTTCTCATATTTCTGACGTTGGTCTCGCAGGGCAACTTCATCACCGACGAGGATTACAAGCCTTCCGAGGTATTCAGACTTATCGCTGGATGGTTGAGATTGCTTACTGTCTCTCATTTCAGTTCCACTACGAATGGATGTCTACCGCAAAGAAGTAGACAAGTTTTATTAGGTTATTCAATCCGATCTCAAAGCTACATGGAGGGCTTAATGATCATAACTAAACACAAGAATGTTTGCAACAAACCAGTAAAGAACAATATCCCTATTTCATTCCCTAATTCATCATCACAGTGATAGAGAGATCAGGCCATTCAATCATGACTTTATTGAAATTGTCATCTTACACGTCAGCTATGGGAGGCTGTTGTTCAAGGATCCTGTTAAAAAAAACAAGTTATCTCCGGAGCAACACAATCTTCCTTCTTCTTACATAGATGTTTCCGGTCCAGTAGTCGCGGTTCTCCTCGTCGGCAAGGCCGGAAGAGACACCGAGGCGCTGGAATGCCTTTTGTCAACGAATGTCCAGCACATGATGGTGAGGATGGACTCACCTCACTGTTGTCGTAGTCGCCGAAGATGATGTCGGCAGAGCCTGTGGAAGCTCCGAATGAGCCATAGCACAAAGCAACTACAGCTGCCACTGCGCACCTTGACCACCCTCAACGCCTTCTCCGCCGATGTAGCTGAGAGCTTGAAAGTTTCTAATCAGTTGGAACATTCTGGAGCAGCAGAGTCAGTATGGAAGACAACAATTTAAACCAGATCCAGTGATTTTTTGGTGAGGCATGTGTTGAGCACAAGATAGTAGGTTAGACATAAAGTTTCGCTATACATTCAGGTCCTGTCATCAACTCTGAGACTGTACAATGTTCTGCACTGACCTCAGTTCATCATGCATACCAAACATCAGAACGGTTATCATTAATTCGTACGTTACCATCCATAAAAACTCTTTCATCATCTGCCTTCTGGTCTGCATCTTACGGCCTGAATATATCAGTCTTCATTGCAGTCCGAGGCTCAGCTGCAGATGCATTTCAGCCGTGAACTCAGTCCCCAATCCTCGAAGCCTGAAGGTTGTCTGATTCAACTTAGCACTTCAAGGCTTTCCTTTCAAGGTCCACTCAGCATCTGTGCTATCTCTCCCTTGCTTCTTCCTCTGGCAGTGACGGTCACTACCTCTGCCTTCTTCCTTCACTGACTGTCTTGACAAGCCGCCATTTGACCCATCACTCCACAGCTGGCAGCCGGAAATAGAACCATGAGTCTCCACCCAACCCCCTCACAATGGAACTTCGACGGTGACTCGGGCAACCCCACCTACTCTTCGACCCCACAAGACAGGTGTTATGACCCCACTGGGCCCACCCCGCAACGGGGATCACCCCCACCCCACGTACAGCGCTGCCGTACGGTCGGTACTGGGTCACCCGATTTTTCAAGCTCCGGAAGTTGCTCAGAGATGGGGCCGGGGGCCGGGGCCCGGGCCCGGACTCCGAGGCTCCGCCGTCAAGCTGCTACGCCTGTACAGAAAGCAGTGGGTAGGGGTATCTCACCGACCGGTTATTGTGTTACCTACCCCTGACTTCATAAACGATTGGAAGTATGATTCAGGGGTGATTTGATACCCTCTGACAAATCAAGACGGGGTGGGTACTGTTTTGAAACAGTGGAGGTTGGCGGAATCTTCCATGACCCCTCCCCGTTTTCGATGACCCGTTAGCTGCCACATTCGTAGCTACCCCATGACGGGTTAACTCGCTCCTGATCCTCGAGCACGTTGGAACCATATCCCTTTATGAATTATTCTATAGTTGTATCTCAATTGAATACCCTCATGTATCTACCTTGCCCTGAAAACAACCATATGGCCTGCTACCTAAACCAACTGTACGGGGTCCTAAATATACCCAACCCACTACGCTTTTAAGCCCTCATTACCGGAACCCACCCCTACTCTCTCCTGGAAAATCCACCCCTGTACCTTTACCCCACCCACATTCTCAGCCTACAACAGACCCCTACCTTTCCATTCTGTAGCCTTGGGACAGACCTGGACCCCTGCCGTTCAAGTAGTGTGAAGTCGCTCTACCCCGAAATTTTGGTACCCCACCCCTCTATTTCCTGTTGTGACTTCTAAGAGCGCGGTAGCCAGTACGGGTCGTAAAATGGACCCCCTTGAGGAAATCCCATCACCCGGTAGTTGAAGTATATTTTTAGGGGGTATCGGATACCCACCCCCCAACCTCAACTACCTTGGATACCCCACCCTATCAACTTACTACCTTTTAGTCGAATAAGTGTGGTGGGGATATAAGAAGTAGAGGTACGGGATATGAAAAGGGGGATGACGAATCAAAAGGGTGGGATAATGATCTATAGGGTAGGGTACAAGTGGTCCAAATTCGTAGCAAGTCGACTGACTTTGGAGGGTAGGTTGACCAGGTATGGGGTGAAGAATCAGTGGAAAGGGTTGTATAGTGAAAGGGTAGGGTGATGTATCTGGTAGGGTGGATCACAGGGGTCGGTGGACGAGGCCATGGCGATGAAAATTCAAGGTGACAAGGAGGGGAGGATGCGCGTTCAATATGATAAGAAGCTGTGGAAATGATATCATCAACTCGAAAACTGCAATGAAACGATGAGTTCTAGCTTCTGAAAGCAGTTGTGAGATCAGATTCGGTATGGCTGTGTGTATATGCGTCAAGATTACACGATGTTTTCGAAGATCCAGAGTGAGCAGAATGTTTTTTGAGAGCGAATGCCAATGTCCGATGAGGATTCAGCAATTACTTTCTCAACATGATAGATTTTCTTCACCATTGAAATTTCTTCCGAAGAGTGCAGAGGTTTTGTGGTGAAATCTGCTAACTTGATGAAGAGTCCTGCGATGTACCTGCTGTACTTGATAGCGCAAATCATTTGCAACTGTGAAATCTCCTTTCAAAATATGCATCAATGTGTGCAATGGATATAGATTTGCACTTAACCATCAAGTGGGTGAAGATATTTCCAATTGAAATAGACTGCATTTGCGTGTTTGAACGATGTTCGCGATCTGTTGTTTTTGTAGGCTGATTCGTGTAGAAACATCCATATAGCCTGCTCTCTGATCTGAATTGCCGTCATAGTTTGCCAACTTTCTTTTGAAGGAAGGGAATAATCTTGTCATTGAATACGACATTGTTAAGAGAAGGTATGAGGGCGTTGTGTGCGAATTATGCACATATCCCAGCTGACAGATCTGATAGTCTGCTCAAGGATTGTGGTTGTCTTCTCGTTATAGAACTTTTTGAACATCATCATGCGCTCCTTTTTCCTCTGTGCAGCTGCAATCTCTCTCTCCTCAGGTGAGCACAGAAACGAATCTGCTCTGGTCCAACCTGACGTCTGCGCGTTGCCCCGGTAGTGGACGGGCTCGAGATTGCCCGACGCTTCACAGCAAGCTCGCCGTACGGGTTTGCATGTGATCTTCTCCAGCTTTCTCATTTTCTGCTCCCAGGTCCCCTTGCTTCGCTCTAAGTCCCCGCCTGCCCTGGTCTTGTTCTCGTTCGCATGTCTCAACTCTCAAGCTGAAATCGCCGCTGCTGCCTCGCACAGTGAAGCGAGGTGAGGGAGGAAAGAGCTGTTGCTCCGGGGACGTCACGAGAAGCTGCAGGTGTCTGCGCCCTCCGTTCTCAGAGGCAAACGGACCTCGACAACGCTCAGTCTGACATCGAGCAGGCAGAGAATGCTGAGAAGCAGGTGGGTCCAGATGGAGAGGAGAGGCGAGGAGAGGAGAGGAGAGGAGAGGGAGGAGAGGGAGGAGAGGGGAAGACACAAAGGGAGAGGGAGGGAGGGAATGATGTCGGTTGTGTTGTTCAGGTACAAGGGTTTGTCTTGAAGGGTCTCACTC